AGCTACATACTCTTTTTCGCGCAAATAATAAAAATCTTCCCCCCGGGGGGGGGGGGGGGGGGGGATGCATCAGAGTGAAGGCAGGCGACGATGAGCAGAGGAGGAGACTTGTGCAAGTCAGAGCCAGAGCTCTAGGAGTTTAGGAGGTGCAATAAATTGGACGATGTTCAGGAGGAACCCAGGAGGGTGCGAGGGCAGCACCGGTAGAGGAGGCCTTTCAAGCTTGTTCTGACGATCCGTGTCTTCAGGATAGGGAGGATGAAGGAGGGGAGCGCTGCGAAGGCTAAGCGCATGACCCCAAAGAAGTCGAAGAAGGAAGAGGAGGACGTTAGGGCGCACCTCGCAGCCCCGCATGTGGAGTCTTACAACTATTTCCTTACCGAGGGTCTTTCAGCAGCAGTCCAGCGTCTCCTCCCTGTTTGTGTTGGACCAGGAGAAGGAGGGCTCAGAATCTTCTGCTCCATCACCAGCGTCAGGCTGTCCAGCCCCGTCAAGCCTGACGACTGTGCTGATCGTCGACTGTTACCCAAGGAATGCAGAGAGCTACGGCTGACGTACAAGGCGCCGCTGTACGCCACCATCGCCGTGAGGCTGGAGGGAGCTGAGCCGATCGAGATCGACCGCAAGCTCGGGGAGCTGCCGATCATGACGCGATCACAGCGTTGCCACTTGCAAGGGATGAGCCAGAAGCAGCTGATGCAGCACGGAGAGGAGCCGTTCGAGTTCGGGGGCTACTTCATCGCCAACGGCAACGAGAAGGTTATCCGCCTGCTCAGCTTGATGAGGAGGAACTACCCCATGGCCCTGATCCGCCCGAGCTTCACCAAGAGAGGAAGCTCCTATACCAAGTTTGGCTGCATGATGCGTTGTGTAAGGGAGGACCAGTCTGGCTCGACCCTCACCCTCCACTACCTGTCAACCGGGAACTGCACGCTGAGCGTCAAGATCAGGAAGCAAGAGTACCTGATCCCCGCAGTCATGATTCTCAAGGCCATGACCGGGAGCTCCGACGAGCAGATCTTCACCAACGTGGTTCAAGGAGACGCGACCAACACCTTCGTCTCCGATCGCATCGAGGTCGCTCTGCGAGACTCCACCAAGTACATCGGGCTGAGGACGAAGGAGGACTTCCTGGGCTACCTGGGCCAGAGGTTCCGCGTCGTGCTGATCCGATCCCTGTACCTCCCCGACGACGTCTCCGACGTTGAGATCGGGCAGAAGCTTCTTGACAACTACTTCTTCATCCACCTCGACTCGGACGAGGACAAGTGGAACTGCCTTGTGGTCATGATGCAGAAGCTCTACGCCCTCGTGAGCGGAGCGATCCAGCCCGACAGCCCGGACTCGCTGCACTGTCAGGAGGTCCTGCTGCCCGGGCACTTAATGACGATGATGGTGAAGGAGAAGCTGCAAGACTACCTTGCAGGCATACAGGACGTCTTCCTCAAGGACCAGCGGCCCGGCTCCTCCTTCGCCTCCCAGGTCAATCTCGCCGACCAGAGCTACATCGAGTCGCTGCTGATGAGGAACCCGGTCGACATCGGGAGGAAGATCGAGTACTTCATGTCGACGGGCAACCTAGTCTCTCAGACCGGGCTTGACCTCTCCCAAGTCTCCGGCTACACTATCGTTGCCGAGCGCCTCAACTTCCTCCGATACCTCTCTCACTTCCGCAGCATCCACAGGGGTCAGTTCTTCACAACCATGAAGTCCACCGCCGTCCGCAAGCTGCTGCCGGAGTCCTGGGGCTTCGTGTGCCCCGTTCACACTCCTGACGGAGGGCCCTGCGGGCTCCTCAACCACCTGACCTCCGTCTGCACTCTCCACTCTCACTTCGTCCCTCCTGCCGCCCTCAAGGCCGTCGAGGACGCGGTTCTCACCCTCGGAGCCTCCCCGGTCTCTGCCGGAGGGCTGCCGGTGGTGATGGGGAGGGAGGCGCTGCCTATCATGCTGGACGGCAGGATGATAGGGCGAGTCGGAGCGCAGGAGGCTGTGCAGCTGGTAGGGAGGATGCGGCTGCTCAAGGCGGAGGGGCTGCGGGGGATACCCGAGTTCCTTGAGATCGCACACGTTCCTCCCAGGACCAACGGGCTGTGGCCGGGCGTGTTCCTGTTCACCACCCCGGCGAGGATGATGCGGCCGGTGCGGCAGCTCTCGAGCGGGCAGCACGAGTGGATCGGAACCTTTGAGCAGATCCACATGGAGATCGCGGTGATGGGGAAGGAGGTCCGGCCGAGGCAGCACACGCACATGGAGTTGAGCCCCATGAACATGCTGTCGGTGGTGGCCCAGTGCACTCCCTTCTCGGACATGAACCAGTCCCCCCGCAACATGTACCAGTGCCAGATGGGCAAGCAGACCATGGGGACCCCCATGTACGCCTACAATGAGAGGGTGGACAACAAGGTCTACCGCATCCTCACCCCGCAGGTGCCGCTCGTGCGGAACCAGGCGCAGGACAATCTGAGGATGGATGACTACCCGACGGGGACGAACGCGGTGGTTGCCGTCATCTCCTACACCGGGTTCGACATGGAGGACGCCATGATCATCAACAAGGGCGCCTACGACCGCGGCTTCGGCAACGGGCACGTGTACACCACTACCATCGTTGACCTGACCAAGTCAGCTCCTCCCGGCAGCAGGTTTGATAACCCCAAGGACGACTCGTACGTGGACCACTTGGACGGGGACGGGCTGCCGCAGGTTGGAAGCATCCTGCAGCAGGGGCAGGAGCTCTACCGCTCCGTCGACCCTGCAACGGGGAGGAGTAAGTGCGTCATGCACAAGAGCGCCGAGGCCGTGCAGGTGGACGCGGTGCGGCTGCTGGGGGACGGGCCCACGAAGCCGCTGCAGAAAATCAGCATCAAGCTGCGGTACGACAGGAGGCCCGTGATCGGCGATAAGTTCTCATCCCGCCACGGGCAGAAGGGCGTGCTGAGCACGCTATGGCCGCAGGAGAACATGCCCTTCTCGGAGACCGGCATGACGCCCGACGTGATCATCAACCCCAACGCCTTTCCCTCCCGCATGACCATCGGGATGCTCGTCGAGAGCATGGCAGGCAAGGCCGGGGCCATGCACGGCTACTTCCCGGACTCGACGCCCTTCCGCTTCGACGAGGAGACGCGGGCGATCGATCACTTCGGGGAGCAGCTGCGAGCAGCAGGGTACAACTACCACGGGACGGAAGTGCTCTACAGCGGAGTGAGCGGAATGATGATGGAGGCGCAGATCTTCATGGGCCTCGTCTACTATCAGCGTCTGCGCCACATGGTGTCGGACAAGTACCAGTGCCGAGCCACCGGGCCCGTCAACAAGTACACGCGGCAGCCGGTGAAGGGGAGGAAGGCCGGAGGAGGAGTGAGGTTCGGGGAAATGGAGAGGGATGGGCTGCTTGCTCACGGCGCGTCGTTCCTGCTGAGGTGAGGAGGAGACGAAGAGGGAGAAACAGCAGGGTTAGGTGGATGGGGGGGTTAGTGGAATGGAAGGATGATTCTAGAGGAGATGAAAAGAGGATGTAGCAAGGGGAGCAGGAGCTGACAAGGGTGGAAGGAGAGGAGGAGGAGGAGGAGGAGGAGGAGGAGGAGGAGGAGGAGGAGGAGGAGGAGGAGGAGGAGGAGGAGGAGGAGGAGGAGGATGAGGAGGAGGCCGCGGGGATCTGAC